TAGGCCAACAACCTACTGACAAATTATATATACAACCAGATCAAAGAATGTAATATATGTCTAGGCAAGGTTTATCTGAGAGTGTTTTGCCTTTGACCATGTTCTATCTACATGGCACATGGTAATTAAAAGAACCAGACTTGTGGAACTAACCTTCTTGGATGTTTAACAGCCATACTATGAGGCCTATACTAATTTGGACAGAGGGACATAAAGGACGATTTTTGCTCCTTTCCCTCCTAGGTTGACTAAGTTCCAGGGGACTATGAGTATCTCTCAAAAAGTCCTGTACCTGTGATAAGTTACCTGTCCTTTTGATCAAGGAGGTTGAGAAGACCCCACCAGATGGACCTGAACTAGTGTCCAGTCTACAAAGAGGACAGTCAACACAGAGGAAACATTTCCTCTATGATCCCAGGTGAAGCCAGTCATGGTCAAGCAGGACCATTGGCTTATCTTCACATAGACAGAACTGGTAAAATAAAGGAGCCAGGAGCGCCTCTCAAGGAGCTCATGTTACCCCTGAGGAACAGATCCTCAATCAACCTCAAGAGTAAAAATAAATTGGTTTATCTTGGCCAATTGTAGGGTCTTAAACACCGAAAAGGAAAGTATAACCACAGATTAATGGGGCAAATATAATTTTTAAGAGTCTATATGTATAGCTAAAGGCTACATAACAAGAAACAATGCCAGACAGGAGATACCTTCCTTTGAGTTATTGGCCAGGGTGGCCCAAAAGACTCCCAGACAGTAACCCAGCATAGAACTGGGAAAATGAACAGCAGAGCCCAATCTTATCTAAAGGCATATTGACAACTGTATGATGCTACATGAGGAACAGCTGATCTTCCTAAAACAAGGCTCTCTAGATAGGTCGACTAGATTCAGTAAATGGACAAGCACTCAGAATGGCTGGGGGTACCAACAACACAGTGGACAGTAACAGGGATGATAGAGTGTATGGGCTCCAGCATGTGGGAGGGGGGAGGCTATGGGAGGGTGCCATTTGGGAAGTGGGTATATAGATGAATAAGATTGTGTGGGATGTTCTGTATGATACACACACACACACAACCAACAAATTAAAAAAAAGACTTTTATTTGAGGAGGAAGCATAAAAATGTACTTCATGTTAAATAGTAGAGGTGATAAACATTACCAGTGAAATCTACCTGATGATTTTATATCCATAGTCAGTAACTAAGGACCTGAGTGTAATCGACTGTGACTAATAATAATCAGATACATAGAGATTAAAGACACATGTGCAAACATCTAAGTGTTAGTAGCATTAAAAATGTAGTAAACAGCATATTTTAAAATAAAATGAAGATCTTCTTTAAAGGGTAAAAACTCAATTTTATGTCTTACAGGGCTTATACTGAATTCAATATTGTATAACTGTATTAATTCAACTGTGAACCTAAAAATTTACAGCCACTTTTGAAAGAGATGTATCCTTGCTCTGGAATGTGTTACTGAATATGTTCAAGCTGTAATGAAATGCTTCTTCTAATCATGTGGTTATTAAAAAAATAAAAGAATTTCTGTATGAAACACTGTACTTCAAAATGAAATGGAAATTTTTTAAAGGTTAAAACTTCATTCAATTTTACATCTTATAGGCTTTATACTGAGTTCAATACTGTATAACTGTACTAATCCAACTGTGAACCCAAAAATTTACAGCAAATTTTGAAAGAGATGCATCTTTTCTCTGGAAATTGTTACTGAATATGTTAATGCTGTAATGAAATGTTTCTTCTAATCATGCGGTTATTAAATAATTTTAAAAAAGATATTCTCATTTCTCAAATTATACTACCTCACAGGATATAAGAAATAAACTCATAGCAATGTGTTAAAAAAAAGAAAGCAGAGTTTTTAAAAAATATTTTTGTTATTTTAAATCAGGTCTCTCTACATAGCCCCCATTGGTCTGGGACTTAGTATGTAGACCTGGCTGACCTCAGACTTGTGGTGGTCCTCTTGCTTCTGCATCAGTAGTACTGGAATAAGAGATGTGTGCTACCACACTTGGCTGAAACCATACATTTTTCAGATACAATATAAATTTTTAATTGAGCAATAATAAACTTTCAAACAGATCCCATGGTATTAAATTTCCAATCTTTTACATTCTAAGTAATTTTATGGTACATTACCTATCATGAATGTAAATTATGAAAGAAGTTCACTTGCATCAAACATACTTAAACGAAAAACATGAACATTTTTTTTTCAAATTGACACACCATCATATAAATGTGCACTTAAATGTTTAACATACATGGCTGTTAATGGTAGGTGTAACATTATGTATATTAAAATGAGGATATCATTAGATTTTTCTAACAATGATTAGGAAACTGAAAATCAGTAGGAATAGAGAGTTAAGTAACTGAAAGCCCTATAGAAGTTGTGTACAAGCACATTATGACAAAACTTACTAGAACCAGTTTCTTCAGACATGAATCTTTTTTTTTTTTTGGTCTTTTTGAGACAGGGTCTCCCTGTAGCCCCAGCTGGCCTGGAACTCACTATGTAGACCAGGCTGGCCTTGAAGTCACAGAGATCTGCTTGCCTTTGCTTAATGCGTTCTGGGATTAATGGTGTGTGCCACATGCTCAGCTCAGGTCTGACTTTTGAAAATGTAAATTATTATTCTATTAGAAAATTACAGCCTTTCATGTATGTTTTACTAAATCTCAAAAAATCGAGTCCATTATATATTTTGTATAATTAATTAATAACATGGAAAAACAATATTGACTGTTCAACCACATGATATGGTTCTGAAGCTTCTACTCACAGCTAACTTAGCTTTTCAAAAGAGAAAGTGTATTTTTGAGTCAGGCTTCTTGTATTCCATGTGAGGACTGTATAATTCTCTGATAGTTCCTGCACTGTCCTCCCTTCCTCTACTACAGTACTACAGGGATGGGTTTGTTGCCATTCCCACTAGACAGAGCCTGTACCCCACATCCTTTTACCCACCCTCCAGTGAAATACAGCAAGGAGGGAGCTGCAAGAAGTAGCTTCCGTGGCAGCCAGAGAAGAGTAAAGCCACAATCTTTCTCTGGCTAAGGCAGCATCTTTCCTGTCACATCTAGTACCCTGTTCCTTTCCTTACTGCAACATTTTTGGCTAGGATGGCATGTTCTTGAAATTACAGCAGGACTAAACTGAAAGTACATTCATAGCCATGACCTCACACTTTCTGTGCTATGATGAATGTGCCTCTACCCCTTCCAAGATGTATCTGTGTTAATTAGCACCTTTACAGTAGGGACCACATATGAGAACTCTTACTGTGGTGCTGAAAAACATCGGCACTATCTTGCATTTTGGAGATACATTTTAAAGTATAGATTACAAAAACTAGTGTGGAATGAAAATAAAAATACAATGATAAAAACAAAAGACACACCCTGTGTTATCAGTCAAGGGATGCCTTAAAGCAAAGTCTGTATGACATTTTCTTTTTTCTTTTTTTTTTTTTGGTCTTTTTGAGACAGGGTCTCCCTGTAGCCCCAGCTGTAGCCCCAGCTGTCCTGGAACTTACTATGTAGACCAGGCTGGCCTTGAACTCACAGAGATCCGCCTGCTTCTGCCTCACGAGTGCTGGGATTAAAGGCGTGTGCCACCACGCCCAGCACACATTTTCTTATCTTATAAAGCATCAGCCAAGGCAAAGGCTCAGAGCAAGGAACAATAGACCATCAATCCAAAGAAATAAGAAATACGTGGGACTGAAGAGATGGCTCAGTGGTTAAGAGCACTTGTTCTTCTCAAGGACATGAGTTTGGCTTTCAATACCCAAGTCAGGTGGTGGCTCACAACCACCTGTAACTTCAACTTTAAGGAATCCTACATGCCATCAGGACTATGAGGGAGGTGGGGTCTCACATGCATATGCATTCATTCACACACAATAAAAAGAAAAATAAGAAGAATTAAGATACTAATACATGATCATATATTCAAACGATATCACCTTGAAAGACCACAGAGAACTTGAAATTTTATCATTCCATTTAAATTATGCTTATGTATGTGACAAAAAAATGTTGTCACTGTACCTCCTCCACACACCAGCCATTCTGCTGACTCATCCACTCCAACCAAATGCACCTGCACACACACATACACACACACACACACACACACAAATCCAATTTATGAGATCCATTGCCATTTCTTCTGTTTATATTTAATTTTTGTGTGTGATTTTTTGTTACAGAAAAATATGGATTGCTTCAAAAATTTGCAAGCAATATTCTGTGCAAAATTTGCACAGATGCCATGCTAATCTTCTATCATTTCAGATTTAGTATAGGTCCTTCCAAAGCCCACAATAACTTCCCTTTCTTACAGTCATTTAGTCATTTTCAATACCCCATTTTTTCTTCTATAATTTTAATAGGCATCAGAACTCACATTGTTCTGTTCCTTCCAACAAGTCAAAAAAACTGGCAGATCCAAATCACCACTGTTTTTCATAACTACCTAACAGAATGAACTCCTACTGTCACTCCCACATAACCTTCTGATCTGCATATTGATTATATCAATGGCCTTCATTCCCTAAATACCCCAGTGCCAGGCAGATACCTAATGAAAACTCCCTTAGGGCTGTGCTCCAATGCAACATTCCCTAAACACACACACACACACACACACACACACACACACACAGAGTGGGGGGAGAGAGAGAGAGAAGTCACTAGTTCATAATCATATATTCAAATTACATCACCATGAAAGATCAGAGAACTTGAAATTTTATCATTCGAATTAAACTGTACATCTGTATGCGACAAAAAGTGCTGTCACCCTACCCCCTCTACACACTGACCATTCTGCTGACTCATCCACTCCACTCAAATGTACCTACACACACACACACACACACACGTGTGCACAGACACATAATCCAAATCCTGAAGTCCATTGCCATTCCTTATTTTAGTTATATTTATTTCTTAAAATCATTCAAAAATCTGGACTGTTTCACAAATTTGCAAGTAATCCTCACACAGTCACCACACTAATCTTACTGTTATCATTCCAACTTTAGTATATGTGTTTTCAAAGACTACAATGACTGCCTTTTCTTATGGTCATTTTCGACACACATCTCCTCCTTTATAACACATCATCTCCTCTATACCTACAATAGCCATCAGAACCTACATTGTTTTTCCAACAATTCAAAAAACTGGCAGATCCAAATCACCACTGATTTTCAGAACTACCTCACAGAACCAAATTCAATCATGTCCAATCACTTCATGATCTGTATATCAATGACCTTCAGCCCTCCACTTCCCAGTGCCAATCAGGCACCTAATGAAGGGCTGCTCCCACTGTGCAATATTTCTTAATCAATGCCGATTGTCCATTTTTACAGTCACTACCCTGAAGCACCAGACACCATCAATGATCCACAAAAACTGCCTCAGCTTTGAAAAACAAATATTAACCCCGAAAACAACTGTGCTCTCACGACAGAACAAATTTGGGGACAAAATGGAGGTGGTAAAATACACACACACACTGAAGCTATGTCCTCTATAGCTTTCTGATCTTAATCCTCAGAGCCAAAGACTGTAGGACAGGAATCCTCAGGTTGTATCAAAATATTTCATCCCCTCCAAATTTTCAACCTTAATGAAAAAAAATGTTGCCCACATATGAAAGACACCACACGGGGAAGCTGACCTTGGTTGCTGCATTATCTTGCTGACAGTTACCTCAGGTGGAGGCAACAGCCATCTCCAGCTGCCTCGCCTCTGAGCAGGACCTGCTGCTGCAGGGATTTAGCGTACTCCCCACCCCCAGCTTGTGCAAGTCAGCCAACGCAACATTCCAGCTACGCATGCGCGCATGTTTGCCACACTGCAGGGACTCATACATCTTCCCTGAACCTAATGAACTAGGGTAGGGGACAATAAACTTCAAACCTTTTGATAGCTGGTGCCTTAAGGGAGGGATGTCAGAAACCACTGTTAACCTGTGTTTAATTATCAGAGTTACCAATTAAAAATATATGTAAAATTACCAGGAAGAAATTGCTTTCCATGGTGTCTTGTAGGCATTAGTGACCACATAATTCTGATTTTTATTCACTCCTAAATTTCTCTATGCACTACACAGAAAGGTTGCTTGGAAAATAAAGTAATCCAAACTAAGTCAGTACAAATATGTCAGACACTTGAAACCCTGGCTGGAGAAAATTTCTCAAACTACAAAAATCTACATTATTCAAAAATACATGACTAATTTTACTTGTATTTTAAAATTTCTTACTATTTTAGACATACTGTGAGAACCCACCCTGAACACAGTAACTGCTGCTTTAATACAAGAGGTGAATTAGCCTATTTGGAAAATTCCCTATTCAGTTTGAAATCTTGGCAATTTAGATCCCTACCATAGATATAAAAACAAACAAAAATGAAAGTTGTTCCTGACAATTTAATGTCTATATATTCAAATTTTACCAATAACCAGTCATAACTAGAATTAAGTTGCAAAACTTAGCACTTTCAAGTGATACAATTGAAAAATTAAATATGATTTTTTGGACCTAGTTATATCCCTGTCCTCAGGACAATGACTATATATACGAAGAAGATATGCATAAGAGGTTACAGAATTTGATTTGAAAATGGAAAATCAGGCTATGTATTCTACAGTCAAGAAAGGGAAGGATCTACAAAAAGGAAACAGTGGCTTTCAAAACAAATTACAATTTTCTATCAGTAATGGGAGCTGCCTCAAACAGCCCATAAGTTACTGGGTTGGATTTACCCTCCAAAGCCTACACACAGGAACCCTGCCACTCCAGTTCACCAATGAACAAGAAAAGAGGGACACAGGGCAACTTCCATTTCTAAAAGGCAGCAACTAAAAACCCTGTCTTCTGTCTCTTTCAGTTCCCTAACCTCTACCTAGTTACTGTGAGGAGGGAGCTGCTGAGAACTTCACTAGTTAGAGCCTATGGAAATTGGGGAGGGGCAGGGCAAAGAGTAGCTTCTGTGGCAGCCTAGTGATGAATGACTACGCTTTTCCTGGGAGAGTGATGCACAATCCCCTACCAATCTACACCTTATAGAAGGAGGGAAGCATGTTCTCTCTTATGCTTGCCTAGCTGCACCAGTGCAGCACATTCAGGAGCTAGCAATGTGCAGTTGAAATTCCTGAAAGTTGCAACTGAGATGCTCATCCCCCACCAATGCTATACTGTGAGGAGGGGCTGACTGCTCCCCTCATGCGTTGTCTGTGAAGATTAATGTCTCTGCAGCTTCTGTCACCTTTGGGGAAACTCAAACTGCTCTATAAGGCACTGCCACCTTCTCCTGATCTTTGAATATACAGAACACATACTGCACAATTGTGCTCAATAACTATCCTATTCAGATTCTTTCCTCAAAGCAAAAGCAGCCAGTGCTCTTTGCTGCTGTGTCATCTCTACAGTCTTTATGTAAGAAATAATCTTTATTTATGTTTTGGTATTATTGAGACAGGGTCTTCCTGTAGCCCCAGGTGGCCTGAATCTTTCTATGTAGACCAGGCTGGCCTCAAACTCACAGATACCCACCTTCCTCTGCCTCCCAAGCGCTGACTTTCACAGCATTCTGTATTGAATATGCCCCATCCCACATACAAAATAAACAAACACAAAATAAGCAAAAGAAATAAGTTGAAGAGTATTTGTGAAAGATAGGCAACATTAACCTCTGACCTCCACATTTATATACATGCACACAAGAACATATATGCACATATGTAGACAAAGGCAATATATACATCACATAGCGTGATATAGCAATAGAGCTTTTAATGCTAAACATAGTCACAGTAGGGCTTGTTGACGGTTGTGCTCATTCATTAAAGGAGTGACAAGGAGGGTCACTGGACCCTCACCTGAGTATGCACCCACTCTTTCCAGCCACTCTTCCCAGCCAACTAGTCTTGGAAGAAAAAAGGAAAATGAGAAAGAACCCAATAGAGGGATGCTTTGGGGAGCCCTTGTCAAGAAACTCCAATGGACTCTCATATGAACATTTGAAAATTGCCCTGTTCCAATTTTTTTCTGGTTCCCTGTCTAGAACTTGTAATGCTATTTATTCTTGCCTTTACTTCTCCTTCACATCCCCTATTCATGATGCAAGGACTTTCTTTTCCCCTTACAGATAGGAGTTATGCAGTTTGGGAGTCTTTTAGTTAGACCCACTGAAGTGGGTACTCCAGGAACGGGTTTATTCAGCTTACAACTCCCAGGTCGCCAAAGAAATGTAGCCAGTTTCTTGGCTAAAAGTCAAAATGTCCTTGGGCCTGTTAGCCACACATTATTGTTCCAAAGGCTACAAATGTCAAAAGTATTTGAGAGCTTGTATCTAATCCTTAAAAGATTTCAGGGTTACCTCTTCAGAGGGGGGGATGTTGGAGGGGAGGGAGTGGGCATAGATTTGATCAAAACACCTTATATGCATATGTGAAATTCTCAATGAAGTTTTAGTAAAAATTAAAAACAAATATTTTTTAAATTATGTTTTTTTATTTTTTTGGTATATGAGTGTACTATCTGTATGTTGTTAGGCACACCCATTTCCTGCAATGCCCATGGAGGTCAGAAGCATGATGGAGGTCAGAAGAGGGCATCAGTTCCTGTGGAATTGTAGTTATGGATGGTTGTTGGTGACCGTGTGTGCTGGGAATCAAACCTGTGTCCTCTGCAAGAACAGCCATTTTCGAGGCATCTCTCCAGCCCCATGTAATAGAGTTTTGAAGAATGTATAGGGTGAATGCGTATATGATATCATTATTATTTTGATTACACATTTGAATGCATTTTTAAGCATGAGGGCTAAAGAAAGAGACAAACTCATGAAGAAAGCAAAATAAACTGAGGAGTATGAGTATGGACTTCTCAAAGAAGCTTGAGTATTTGGGGTTTTTTTGTCCTTATTGGTTGTGATGTTGGTGCTGGCACCCCATTTTTCTTATCTTCTGAATCACCACGTGGAAAGAAAACATTTGACCATAGCTCATCATTACAACAGCTCTGATGAGGAATAATCACCACAATGTATCAAAAAACAGATACAAGATACTTTACATTCACAGGTGTCATATATCTCAGGCTGGTCATATAGTGATCTTCCTTCCTCTACTTTCCAAATGATGTGGTTATAGGTGTGCACCACCAATCCCCATCACAGTCATTTTATAAAGACATTTCCCTCATTTAACCTGAAATGTTTGGAAACAATAATGCGAAATATGAAGAAAAAATATATTAGCGCTATAATCATCACATTAAACCTGTCAATTGAGAAGAAAATTCCAATGAATGTTACCAGAAAGAAATCTCATTCTTCATGCCTGTTCTGACGTTTTACAGTGCTTTTCTTCTTGACATTATACAATAGAATCACGAAGTATTTTTATTTGGATTTTTAGGGGTGAGAAACAAGGTTTCTTGTAGTCCAGGCTGGCCTCTGACTGAGAATGACTATAAATTCTAGGTCCTGTTACCTCTACAGTCAAAGTGCTGGGATTATAGGTGTGCTACTCTGCCTGACTTACAAGGACTGTTATGTTCAATTGTTTATGAAATTCACATACCTATCTAATAGTTTTTATTTTTAATTTTCACTCAAATTCTGTTACATTTATATAGTGCTATTTATTAATTGATTCTATTATATAGTTTTTACTACTAAAATCATATTGCTATCCATTATTAAATATGATTGTGCCACCAAGCCTGACAACCTGAGTTCAATTCCTTAGTCCCACATAGTGGAAGTAAAGAAGTGACTCCCACAAGTTGTCCTCTGACCTCCACATACACATAGTGGCATGTGTTCATCACCCACACAATAAAAACACACAGTAAAAAGTTAACATTTAAATATAAGACTTCACATTGCAATTTTTTAATAATCTATATGTCAAAGAAAATTGTGAGGTGTTGTGATGCTTGAATATATATATATGTATATATATATATATATACATATATATATATATATATAAAATCAGGGAGCATGTACTTGAATGTTCCTAGCAATAGCATTATTGGTAACTG